GTACAAGTTCGGAATGGACTATCTGTTCTACTTACTAATTGAAATAAAGTGAACTCTTCACAGAAAAAGAAAAAATATATATATTGTATAAAGCTGTGCTTCTAAAGTATATGCCTAAGACAATTTTGACTCATTTTTCTATGCAGATTCTTTTTCCAAAGTAAGAAAAAAAAAAAAAAAAAAAAAACCAAACCAAACATAATGCATTAGGAAAATTAAGAAGTAATGTTAAAAAACAAAACAAAAAACCACTGTGCTTTAAAGACGTAATGTTATACAAAATAGTAGAATATACTGTAAATTTATTTTTATGTTAATGTATTAAAATGAAATCTTATATAGTAAAGCAATTAGCATGTAGAAAATTCTCATTCCTAATTACAAAATATTGTGCTTGGACATTATTAAACTAAAACGTGCTCTTCATGAATTGTGGCCTTTACTTGGTGTGACTAAGATGCTTAGCCTGAGTGAACTGATAGCAGTGGGATGTAAACAGTGAATAGTTCAGATTTGTGCACAGGACACTGAGTGGGCTGTGCTGTTTGCCCACCTACTTTCCTGTGTTAAGATGCCAAGCAATACCTTGCCTTCCTTTAACTCATCTGGCAAAAACATTTTTCTTCTACCATGTCAACTGAGTTATAAATAATCTGAAAATAATCAAACAGGAAGAAACAAAAAAACAAAAAAGCACAAACTGTTGTAATGTGCTTTTTTATTGTTAATTTTTTCAAGCAAGGTCTCTTATCCACTGCGTGCTGAAGCTGTACTGAACTTCTCTTTTGTTACATGTTCAAACTGATTTCCAGATGATACATTTTGCTAGCAGTACCCCTGTTCTCTTCATAATTATCATGCCTGGCTGATCTAGAGACATTACTCCGCTATTACACATTTGCGCTGAGGATACAGAATGTTTCTGATTTTCTTGTCTCACCCTAAGCTTCCCTTAACACCATCTGCTGAAAAATACGGCTTGTTCTCCTTCTGTTGCATCTGTATTTAATATAAACAGTAGATGCTTTCACTGAGGTTTTCTTAAACTATCAATTATCACAAGCTATCAAGCATAAAAGTTAAATTCATTAGTGCTAGGTATAGAGTGTGTTATTTCCTAGGGGACATAATATCCCTGATTGGAGCTAAAAAATTCCTGAACATCTGGTATTTGACCAAGTCAGTACTTTCTCTGGATGTCTAGATTATCTTACTTTACTCTGTTTATTTGACAGTCATTGGATAAGAATTTTGTAGCGGTGTATTGAATTTTAAAAAGTATATATTAAATTTAACATTTAAGTATTGTAGAGATGTCACCTTCAAAATTAACATGGTATTAAAAAACAAAATCTAGCATATTTTCCAAGTGTTGTTTACACTGAGTAACGAGCTAAAAGTTAAAATCAAGGTGTAAGAACTCTGCAATCAGTAAGTTTAGAGAGCACTTCATGAGTTAACAGCACTGTTCACATTCTTCTGTTGCCCTGTAGTGGAGCCTACTGCTGCACTATGAGAGAGTTTAGGGCCCAGGATGAATTCACACGTCACAGACAATTCTGGTTCTTCAGGATTCTTCCCCTCCTTCCCTCACCTTTTGACAAACCAAGATCTGAGTAAATGAACAAGAAATCCTGGGATTGTGTTGCAATTCTAAACCAGCCTCAGATAGGGTTAGGAGCAAGTCTTAGGGCTGGCTTGTTTGCTGCATTAGGGCATGCTTCCCTTTCTGTTCCCTGCACTACTTTGTAGCCATGATGGCCACAGTGAATTGCTGTTTTGCCTTAAGGCAGAACAACCAGCATAAGATGGCTTGTCTCTCTCTGTCAGTAGTTTCAAAGTACCATTCTGTAGCTTTCACAGTAAACCCCTTGGTTCTCTTTTTCACAAGTGTTACTCTTCTCGTACTGTGATTTTTTTTTTTCCCTTTGGACTCTGGCATTTTAAGTAGACTTTGGGATAGTTCATCTCCAAGCTGCTTTGTATTGGAGGCAACTGCCTTCAGTAATCTAGGAAGGCAAGTAAGTGATGGAAGAAAATTTAATATGTTTAAGGTAATTTGTAATGCTGGGAAGACTCCTATATGGCAAGTTGCTGGACAGAGAAAACCATTCAGGACTACTGATTCTCCAGAAGTAATTCTCATTTTATAATATTTTTTTTTATAATCAGCTTCCAAGCACTTTCTTTCTCTTCTGCAAGTCCAGCCATTAGAAATCACCTCTTTTTAACCAGAGCTCTTTTAGGAAAATTAACCAACTGGTGTACAGCAGGAGCTGGGAGGTGACTGTCTCAGCTGTAGTTAATCAGGAGCAGCTGAAAGGTAAATAGGCAAGTAAAAGCTGGGAGAAATACCCACTGGATTATTAAAAGCCCAGATGCCTATAGGCGCATATTTTAGTGTCAGGGAGTAGTCATGCTTCACAATTTCTAGTGTACCTTATGACCCAAGTTCCTGTATACGTGCAAAAGCAATCTGTATATTGCAATGGGTCAAATAGTTGGGGCTAAGACAGCTGTCTCAGGGTTTGAATTACAGTAGTTTATTGTCACTGTGTTATGAAGCAGATCTGATATAATTGAATTCTGAATAACATTCCAAAATGTTGTAGTTCCTCCCCATATTAAGTATGAAATCATAAAATAATCACATTAGTTTAAGGATGCATTAATATGCATCTCAGAGATGCCTTAAAAATAAAAATGATAAAATACCTGTTAGTAAAGAAACAGCATAACCAAAGAGTGTTTCAGAATGTATTTTTCCCCCTTGTAAGTAACACCAAATGTTTTATTAGAGTGAAATTGTACATGTTTGTGCAAGATTTGGGATAAAAAAGAATGTTTTATCTGAAAAAAAAAATTCTGAAAATGAGCAACTACAGCATCTTTGATTGTATGGCCTGTTTTAAACATTTTTATTCGTGCAGTTTGAAATTCTTAGACTGACAGAGATTCATAGGCTTTAAGGATACTGCTGACTGTTTCTCCCGGCTTGCTTTGCTTTCCTTTTCATCCCCTTCTGCAGCTGCTCCTGATCAGCTGAGCACCAGATGAAGTGGCTGTGGTCACTTACCAAATCTACCTGGGAAGCAGATTAATTTTTTAAAAAGATCTCAAGCGAGAGGAGCTATTTTCTTATGAGGGTGCACTGAGAGAGAAGAACGGAGAGGTTATAAGCTGATAAATGAGATGTAGAGGAATGCATATCTTCTTGAGACCATGAGTAGGCTTAAAGAGCTGTGTCCTCTGTAAGAATGAAGAGGATAAAAAAGTAGTCAAAAAGAAAAAGACTTTCGTGTTTTCATTTTCTCTCAAGTGTTATTGCTTATTCTCTCTCACTGGAAGAGAGAAAGGTATAGTTGCCTGAGGTAGGTACTAAGCAAGCCAAGTGAGTTGATGAGAATCAACTTGGGAACAAAAAGCTGGAATAGAAAGCCCGTCCTTTGCCAGGAAACTAGCAGCTGGTTTCTTTAGGGAACTGAAGTGACCACTTTCTGAAACCAAATCGACAATGTGAAGACACTAGAAGCACTGAGGACATCTGGCTGGTCCCTTGGAGTACAAGGGTGTTTAAGGAGCCCAGAGCAAAACATTTGGTTTCAGTACTGTTTGTTCTGGAATGTTGCATGCCCTAAACTTTAATGCTGAAGCTGTATTTGGAAATAGTATGTGTAGGGAAGTGTTTTGGCTGCTAAAGCACTGCATAACTGAGTGCTCCATTTTCTCAGATCAGTCAAAAACAGTTTGCTGAAAACCATCCCTTAGTTCAGAATTATACTATGAAAAGTGGATTCTGATGCAAAAAGGCTTTGTTTAGCTTAATCTACAAATCAAATTTTTGCAGATAAAATGGCTTTAAGCTGACTGTGTCTCCGAAAGGAAGGCAACCTGGGTGAACTGAGAGGGACTTCTAATGTTTGTTCTTCTACCTGCTTTATGTGTTTGTATTTGGAGTATTAGGAGTATTGCTTCTTTACTGGTTAGTTATTGCACTGTAGAAATCTTAACCAGGTAAAATGCAGGTATTGCGCTCTCTTGAGCTGAAATGGATTTGTTTTAAAGTAATTTAACAAAATAGTGTAACTACCACTATGAATAATTTTAATAGACAAACCCTTCATTTTTGAAGCAGAGGTGCTTATCACAGTTGAGATGTGTGCCCAAGTACCAGGGGAAACACAATTCAAAGCTAGTTTTCTCTGAAACTGTATTTGAAGTATTGTTCAAGAGAAATTTAATCTCACTGTTCTGCTTATACTTAAGAGTCCAACAATTGTCTCAGCATTGTTTCAATATCATTGGCAAATCTAACTTGTTGTATGAAAGTTTTGTTTTACTCATAGAATTGTGGATATGTAATTGAGAATTCCATAAAATTAACAGAGGAAGTTCTTTGAGACTTTTTATGAGGTGAAAAGAACACAGTTTTTGTTTTTTTTTTTCTTCCATTTAAGTGTGCTATTAGGCTATTAGGTTTTTGAAGCAACAAAAGAAGGAAAAAAAAAAGGCCCGTGGAACTGTGAAAAGAAAAAAAAATTGTGATGAAGAGTAAGAAATGGATTAAAAGCTCTTTTCCCTTAACTGCAAAATGAATTTTTACTTACCTGCCAACTCCAATCTGAGGGAACAGGGCCAAGGAAAATAACTTCTGTTCCAGAAGCAGAGATGGCATAAGTTTTGTTCTGACGTTTATCTAGGAGTAAGAAATTTGTCATCCTTATGCTCCAGTCCTGGACACGGGGAAAGATTGAGCTCTGTGCTGGAAGGTTTTTGAGGGCAGCTCTGTGCCTCTTCTTCAGTCCTGTTCTGAACAAAGCTATCTTAGGAACATCTCAACAGATTTTATTCTTTATGTCCTGTGTTTATCAATAAAGGTATTGGAAGAAGCTAATTAGATATGTTCCAGTGCCAGTATACTAATTGAACTGTTATTTTTGTCTTTGTAGTCCATCCTGTGCTATCAGTTTGAGACAAATAATTGTTTTGTTTCATTGTAGGGAAAGGTGAACACGGAAAGCCGTACCCTCTGACAGAGGAAGACCATGATGATTCAGCTTATAGAGAAAATGGCTTCAACATATTTGTTAGCAACAATATAGCACTGGAGCGATCTCTGCCAGACATCCGACATCCTAAGTATGTAAATTGTCCCATGGACTATTTCACTGCAAGGTTTTTCTCTTTGAATACATCTAAATAAGCTGCTTTCTTGGGAGGTGAAATAGGAAAGCTCAGCCAACAAAGTGCCAGTTTCATTAAATAGGAAATATTAAATTTTTCACTATATTTGGATCACATTCTCTGTCTTTTAAACCAGCTTCCCATGTTATTGTTTACATACTGTGACTATAGAAGACCACTTCTTGTTACTAAATGATTTAATGACATTCCTTGTAGTGATTTCTTAGATAGAGATAAAAAATACTTCACATTTAGAAAACTTTATTCAGGTTCTCTCCTGTTAGTAGTTGCAGAGCTTTGGTGGCAGATTTAGAAATTGCATAAACCCTTATTGGACCCATAAACCCATTTTTGGACCAGTGTCTCCAAAAAAATTTGTGCTGGTTTTGTTAGGTAAAAAAGCTTGAGATCTTGATGGGGCAGGGAGAGGGAGAGAAATACAATTGCATCTTCCTCTTCCATGCTCTATTAGTAAAATTGCAGAAGACAATTATTAAATACAAGAGAGGTGGCATGTCTGTGCGCTCTGTATGTGTTTGCAAGCTAACCTTCTGATCGTTTGTTTCTCACTCACTACTATCTGCACAGTCATTGACATTTCCCCAGTGTGTCCCCAGGAGCAAAGGGAATAATGTGATCTCAGAAGTGATGCGGTAGAAGCATGTTGGTGCTGCACCAGCCTTTCACTGTTCCCCCCTCCTCTTCTGAACCTAGCCCTGTCTGTCACTGAGTTTGCTTGAGTGTCTCACTTGGGAAACTTGAACCCTGAAGGCATCATTTTCATGTTCTAATTCAGCTATGTTCCTATGACCTTCATGAAATCACGTGTGGTGGATGTTATTATAGTGTCCTGAGTGAAATGACTTCTTGTGTCCACATTACTTTCCTTACATTAATTCCTTGTAACATAAACTGTCCACTAGTTAACCGACTTCATCATCTCGTAAGGCATATTTCTGTGCATAGCTTGTGTACTAAGTATAATGAAGTGACAAAAGTAGGCTCTGTGCTTCTGGTGGTTACTCCTTGAAACAAATTAAGATATGATTTCAAAAAACAAATCAAATAGTTTTCTTGCTGTCTGTAGAAACTTCGAAAGAAAAACTGCAAGCCTTCATGAATGCAATAAAAACTGAGTAATGAATCTTGCAATTAAGACCAAAATATATTTAAACAGCTGTAGTAGTGCCTATATTTCTGAAATCGCTCCTGTAAAGTTACATTATTAGAAATTCTTGAACCAAATAAACTTCAAGTCCCACATCTAAGAAACTAATATTCTGAAAGTATGCAGAGATAGAAATAGATAACCTGCTCTTCTTAACCCAAATGAACTTTTTCCTTGTTCTCTTTGGAAACTGGGATCAGGATTTGCAAAATATGTCTTTTGGTAAGGGGATGAGGGGAACCAAGCAAGTAGTTAGAAGTTTGGGATCTGAGAAACTCAGTTTCTCATTTTTGTTGTGGGTTTTTTAATAGTATTCTTGCTTATTTACTTTGAGTCTGGAATATTTAGAGTGCTTCAGAAAGATGTATTCAGATAGATGCTCCTTTCCTTTTTAAGAAATGGAAATGTGTTTGCTGTAAAAATCTCTAGAGGAATGAAACAATTCTATTTTAAGGCCACTTTAACAACTTTCCTGAGTCCTTTATATGTTTTTGTTGGATTCTTCTATTATCTCCCATATCAATTTTTTTCTCTTCTAGCTGCACTTGAACAATATTTCTGCCATTTCTATGTGCTCTTTCATGTCTTATTTCTGTACCAGTTTCATGGAAGTAGATGCTCACAGTGTTAGTTAACTAATCCTCTGTTCTTTGTCCACCATCAGCACCCAGCCTTAAGAACCAACCTTACTGAGCTGTTTTTGTTTATCTATAGAAACAGGATGTGCAAGACAGATCAGTGCAAAGTGTATCTGAATATATCAAAAATATCAAAATCTGACAAATTTTGCTTGCTCCTCATATATGGTCTTTGGTTTTCCATTGAAAATTCCATGCAGAAACTGAGTTTGGAAAGGGGTCAGTTTTGTTTTCTATATAACAGCAGAAGACTAGGGAAATCTTAGATGTTTACGTTGAAGGAAAAGTCATCTCTGCTAAGAAACAGTTCTTTTGCCTTTGGAATGCATGCATTGTTGCAGGCATTGTCTATGGATAATTCAAGATAAACATCCTGCAATAACATCTGAAAAAAGTATATAACTTTAAGGCTATTCAGAGTTCAGAGCATAGAAAAATGGGATTTAAGTATATGTTTGGTCTTTGATTGTTGTTGTTTATTATTCCAAATGAAAATCTGAAACAGGAATGCCTTCTCAGTTCATTGGGATTTCAGGATGTGGTTATTGACAATAAGACTGCTTGTCACCTAAAGTTGAAGGCAACAGTTGAGTTCTGGGAAATGTTTAGAGTTGGCCATGGAATTACTATTTAAAGTTAATTCTATACTAGCAGTAAAAATATTTCAAAATACAACAGAGCAGGAGGCTGTTTGTTGTTTTTTTTTTGCTGGCCTGTGTCACTGCTTTAGCCTGGAATACAACAAACTTCCTAAAGATAGCAGATAAAATTGTGATCATTTTCTGTTGGAAAGGAAAATTGCTGTTGAATTGTTTAACAGTTACCATTAATTCTTATCTTCTCTGCATTTTGAGATAATCTGTGTTTACTGGTTTTGTTCAAGTAAAATCAAATCTGGTTCATGTTTGAATAACATTCAAAATGGAATTGTGATGAGGCTTGGGGGAATGATTGCAATCACATAGCCTAAGTAGTGAATATAACTTGTGGTATATACTCTGTTTGACACTCCTAATTCCTCATAAACCAGAGCATCTAATTTTTTAGCTATTCATTCTTGAATTGAAAGAATTCAAGTTGATTCTGGTTGCCAATAAACTGCAAGAGTTATGATTTAAGATCTTCCATGTTGTAGGTGTGTTCACATAGGTTTATTCCAACAGCAATCCTTGTATCTGTGGTTTGTAAAACACTTGTTTATACTTGTGCATGCAGAGATGTACAAATCCTTTTTGGCTTACCTGAATAATCTACTACCAGAAATCTCATCCTTTTTAGGTTTCTGGAGCTATAGATAGATCCATTTTATACTGATACCCAAAATAATTCATACTAAGGATGCCCAGCCTGATTTCTGTGACATTTGTTTTCAGCAGGCATGGTCTGGAGTCAGTGTTTCTAAGTGTTGAGTGGTTCTTGCTGCATGAGGTGGGGGCAATGGTAGCCCAGTAGGCTTCCTCTCAAAGTCCAAGCAATGTTTGTTGATCTTAGATGTTATATTTCTTACAGGCCTCTGAAAAGATGCAGCCCTAAAATAAAAATGGACTATCTTCTGTCTCCTTAACACTAACTAATTAGGTTTTTCTGTTTTCATAATTAAACAAACAAACAAAAACAAACAAACAAACCACCACACATTTCTCTATACTTGTTCTGCATAACTGGAGCTCTTCAACTCCTTATCAGCAATAGAAGCTGAGAATGCCTGAATGGTTCTGTTTCAAAATGTTTGAATGCAGTAAGGTTGCTGTCCCTTCTATTTTTGAATGAAGCTGGGAAAAAAAAAAATGCAGGGAGACTTCTTAAGTTTTTTTGTTTAGCTGTGGATGTGTGGACTTGTTTGCTTTTGTTTTGTGTTCTGCTTTATCTGTGTTTTTTTTGGGGGGGGTCTGTGGAATAGTCATGGAGTTACTGTTATTCCTTAATTATGTTTTAGTAAATTTTGCATTAACTTTAACTCCTAGTGCACTACAGAATGCTATGGAGTAACATGATGTTACAGGAATATCTATAACCAAAAATCATAAAAACATGACAACATAGGATTACTAGACTTACATGGGAGAAAAATGCATTTCAAAAATTCAAGGCTGGTGTTTTAGTTCTATAACCATTCAGTATTTAATATCTGAATCCTCTAACATGCTGGTTGATGTTAGTTGCCCTCCAGACCCAGTTCTTCTGCAGCTCCATTCCCTCCAGATGAGAAGCTGACTTCTCTGCTTTCCTTTTTTTTATGCTTAATGATGGAAAACTCCATGAGAAGTTGTAAAAGTTAGCTCAAAGGCACTCAAGTAATCTCTGCAGTAGTCAGTAGATAAATAATTCAGTGCCATCTCATTGCTCAGAGGGCAGATGTCACTGCTATCCAGGGATGCTGAAGAGGCACTCTGGGTGTGCTTAACTTAGAACAGCTACTAGCTAGCTGATGCAACTTTTTTTTTCCTAACTTGCTTACTCCTATGCTTAGTTTGACTGCAATCTACAAACCACAAAATCTACTAGCCCACTTCTGGTACTTCAGCAAAGTGTTAGTTCAGACTTCTCAACATAGGGCTGCCTTTCTTTATATTAATGTTTATTAGTATTATATTAAACTTATCTGGCCACGGAGCAGCTGATTAAGCACAAATTGTTCTTCTACGGGGATAGTGATAAAGCTGGAGGTTATTACTGACAGCTTTTTCCTGTTGCAGTTACTGTGTAATGTAGTGAAGGTGGAAAGTCATGCGTGCCAAAACATGATAGGCAATGTCCCCATTTCCAAGCCTCGCCAGATTGCTCTCTGCAATTGCTTCAGGGCATCTCATTCAAAGTTTCTAGCTCCTCAAAAACAGGATCAGAAATATTTTATACTTGAGAAAACATGTGGCTTTCTGTCTCTGTCAGTTCCTCTGCAGTGTATGCATTGGTAGTACCAATGGAATAATTCATAGGTGCTTTCTGGATGCTTTGTGTGCCTGTTTTTATAACAGTAACAACTAAAATGGGGCCGAAGACTGATGATTCCCTCTCCACCCTGTTGGTGAGGAGCAGTATCTGTGGTGTTGAGTAGGTCAATAAGGATAGCCCAGATTAATGGATCTGTTTACTAGAAAAAAAAAAAAAATTAATAAGCGAAGCAAGCTGTTTATACAGGTGCAGGAAAG